TTTTAAAACACACTTTTCCTATTTGAGAAGACATTTTTTTCCATTGTTGCATTCATCCATAACTTATCTGTGTGGTTACTTATACCAGAGTGGGAAGACTTAGCATGTGTTTCTGTTAGCTTTTCATTTAGAGTTACTGAATTTTTGTCGTGATTTGTGTCTCATGACTAATGCTTCTCTGGTTCTCTTATTTCTCAAAAGTATACTTTGGAATCCATGTTATTCTGATCCTCATTTGACCTTTGCTGGCACAAATATTCTGAAGTATTTGCAAATGCTAAAGTCACTTCCTCATGTTTTACTGAGTTTACTTTTAGCTTGGCTAAGCCAACTGCATATCAGTTTGTGTAAACTTAACAACGAACTGAAGGTTCATATAATTGCCCTGTCCCAGGGCCATTCACACTGGGGAAAGGAGTATGAAAATTGTTTTGAAAATTCAGAAGCTGGATATTTTACACTAAAAAGACGAGCATTTTAACATTTTTGTAACACTTAAACTTTAGGTTTAAATAAAATGAGTACTTCTCAGTTAAAAACTCTATTAAAATGAACGTGGGTATCTTTATCAAAAAATTTTTAGGGTGTCTTTACCTTTCATTTCAGTAATTTTGTGTCCAGGAAGATACCCTGAGATACTTTTCTGTGAGGTATTTCAGGTGGTACTGAGCAGACACACTTACAACAATATCCAACTGGGTCACACAGTGAGAAACTTAATTTCCTGTTCAATTTCTTCTTAAGTTTCTGATCCTGGGAGATAGAGAAAAATTCAATACCATTCATTCAACACCAAGCCTTCCTTCTCTCCCATAGCTATAAAACAATGATCTGGGACTAGAACAGTAGCACAGCAGGTAGGGCGTTTGTCTTGCACGCTGCCGACCAGGGTTCGATTCCCAGCATCCCATATAGTCCCCTGAGTACCACCAGGGGTAATTCCTGAGTACAGAGCCAGGAGTAACCCCTGTGCATTGCCAGGTGTGACCCAAAAAGCCAATAAAATAAAATAATAAATAAAATGATGAGCAAAGGAGCAGCAGAATCCTATGTTTTCACTATGTTGTTTTGTTTGCTTCTGTATTTCTTACAGTTACCTTCATTTATGGTAGATGATTCTGATTTTTCCATTCACTGTAAGAGTTGCTTTTAAAGACAGAAATGAGTTGGTGTAAGGGGATGCTAAGTATGGGATGAATGGGTTTTTTTTGTTGTTTATTTGCTTGTTTTTGTTTTTAATTCTAGCTTAACATTGAATTACAATTTGGGGGATGGGCACACCTGACAGTGTTCAGGACTTACTCCAGGTTCTGCAGTCAGGGGACCATATGGAGTGCCAGGGATCGAACATAGGTTGGTCACTTGCAAGGCAAACACCTTACACCCTGTACTATCTCTCTGGCCCCACAAATGGTTTCAATGATGTCAAAATCCCTGCTAGTGCTGCAGAGATGACTGAAATGTGGGAGACAAGCCCTTAAGGAAATAATCAGAGCTCAGGAGGGAGTTTTTCTCCCACTGTGACTGAAACCAATCAAATCCTGAAACCAATCAAATCCTGAAACCACTCGGCGGGCTGACAAGGGACTGGCGAAGCAATTTTGGTACCTCCCTGTGGTGGGAACACTGCCAGCCACAGGAAAATATATTTAATGACATGGGGGAAAAAAAACATATGCAGTTAGATAAAACTTTGCAAAAAAAAAAAAGAGTATGCACAGTATCCTAGTTTGGTTTTGTTTCTTCTCCTTGGTTTCTGCATTATTCCACTGACCTTAAAAATTATTAGATGTTGGAGCTGGAGCAATAGCACAGTGGGTAGGGCGTTTGTCTTGTGTGCGGCTGACCCAGGTTCAATTTCCAGCATCCTGTATGGTTCCCTGAGCACCGCCAGGAGTAATTCCTGAGTGCATGAGCCAAGAGTAACCCCTGTGCATCGCTGGATGTGACCCAAAAAGAAAAATAAATAAATAAAATTATAGATGTTATGGGTCAAAGAGAAAATAGAAGGTGTAGGGTGCTTGCCTTGCACATGGCTGACCTGGGTTCAATACCTTGCATTGCATATAGGGAGCCTGCCAGGAGTGACCCCTGAACACAGAGGCAGGATTTAACCCTGAGAACCTCTGAGTGTGGCCCCTCCCAAAACAAACAAAAATGTCATTGTTGGCTGTAATTAAGGTTCAGCCAAAACTGGGTGCAATATGTAAATTCATATATTTAAATATGGGTATCTTCTTTCTCAGGATCTCAAAATCTCTGTGTTGTATTGTGAAGAAAAGTTCACTGCCAGGCAGAAACAATTCTTTTGGTAGAAACAATTCTTACCCTTTTACCTAGTAGAAATTTCCAGGATGTTCTTTCTTGGAACCAGGAAGCCCCTAGACTTCTTTGTGGGAATGGAGTTGGCCAGTCCCTGCAGGGTAAGGAAATGGGGTCTCTGTCACTCTCACAGCCCTGCTTGGTGTGTTGATCTACAACAGGGACGGGGTTCTGCCCCGAGTGAGCTGCCAGGTCCTGGGCCTGCCCACCCCCGCTGTGGCTCGCCAGTAACCTCGGCCACGTGACTCCTCCTGGCTCTGCCCTGTCCCTGCTGACAGCAGGCTTTCTGCCCCGGCTCCCTGTCTTCTCTTCCTCTTTCTCCTGGCCTGTTTTATTTTTCTTCCACAGAAACCAGTGTGCATTAATCTCAGATTGATGCTGTAATAAATTACTACAAAATTACTGGTTTGAAACAATGCCAGCTTCCTGCTTTACAGTTGTGTAAGTCAGAATTCCTAAATGAGGATTTAGGCAAGGCTGTGCTCCTTCTGGAGGCTCGAGAGGAGAGTCATTTCATTCCCTTTTTGAGGTTCGAGAGCTTCCTACAGTTCTTGGCTCATGGCCCCTTCATTGATCTTTATTTATTTAGTTAGTTTGTTTTGGGGCCACACCCAGCAAAGTTCAGGGGTTACCACCCTGGCCCTATACTGAGGAACTGCTCTTGGAGGTGCTCGGAGGAACCATATGGAATGCCAGGGGTCGAACCCAGATTTACCCTGTGCGAGCAAACACCCTGCTCTCTGTACTATCGATCCAACCGCTTCCTTTATCTTTAAAACCAACAACTCTATCATAAGGCTGTACCCTCTTCTGCAGCAAATCTCCCTCTGGCTCCCTCTCACAAGCTCATTTAGGATGACATTGAGGAAACCAGGATAATCTAGGATCATCTCCCCAGCTCATGCTGGTATCTGACCCAACTCCCTGGGCAGTGTCCCTTTTGCCATGGAATTAAATAAGCTCTTAGCTTCTAAGAATTTAGACATTGACATCTTTAGCAGGGCCGTCATTTGGCCTGCAGCACAGCGTTTCAACAACAACTGCAGACATGTAACTGCTAGCTGGCTTACACCCTGCATGGGTCTGAGGGGAGGACCCACTTCCCCTGACAGGGCTGGGAGTGCCTTGCCAGGGCTGCCCACATCCTCTTGTCCCTGCCCCAGGCTCCCCCACCACTCCACCTTTGCCTTCCTTCCCTCTGCTCCCGTACCTAGATGCTTCTCCCCACGCCACTTCACAGACCTTCCCGAGGCTCTGGGATGCTCACAGGGACCCGTGCCATTCTGTGCCCACATTTTATCAGATTATAACACCTTTGCTCTTCCTCAGGTGGTTATTTGATCAACATGGATTTCTCCTGCATGAATATGCTCGATATGGACTGGGACTGTGCCAGTGTTTGGCATCGCATTCCACCATTGCATCCTAGCTTAGCGCCTGTGGTAGGGTGGTCAGTAAATTCTGAGGAAGGAAATATCAAGTGGATGGATCTGAAGAGAGTGGTTCTCACTCTGGGACCCCTTACTCTGCCTTTCATCTCCATAGCTTGTTTGTTTGTTTGTTTGTTTGTTTGTTTCTGGGCCACACCTGGCAGTGTTCAGGGGTTACTCCTGGCTCTGTGCTCAAGGATCACTCCTGATGAGGCTCAGGGACTAAATGCAGTGCCAAGACTCAAACCTGGGTTGACCATGTGCAAGGCAAGCACTATACCCACTGTATTATCTCTCCAAGCCCTCATCTATGCAAGTTTTATCCCCTCTATGTCCTCACCTTCCTCCACCATGAGAGCAGGGCCTCTCCAGGTCTTGGAGCCTTGTCTGATCCATAACCAGCTCTTGACAAATATTTGGTTCATGAAGCATCTGCCAGATGTTCAGAATCCCTCACAGAAATTTTCCTTTCTCAGCTCTCTTTGAAATTGACATTAATCAAGTTATTTGTCTTAGTTATTCAACCTAACTTAATCAGGAAAAGTGGCAGAGAATTTCTAGAATGTCTAACTGTTGTTGAAAGTATTAAATGAGTCAATACATATATTATCACTTAGAGCAGCGTCTGTCACATGGTGAGCCCTGTGCTTGTTTACTGGTCGTGTTAAAAAATACTTGATCCCAGGGCTAGAGCGATAGCACAGCAGGTAGGGCGTTTGCCTTGCACGCGGTGACCTGGGGTCGATCCCCAGAATCCCATATGGTTCCCCGAGCACCCCCAGGAGTAATTCCTGAGTGCAGAGCCAGGAGTAACTCCTGACCACCGCCAGGTATGACCTAAAAAGGAAAAAAAAAGAAGAAAAGAAATACTTGATCCCTTGATAGATCAGACTTTTGGTTTTGTTTCTGAACTATACCCAGTGGTGCTCAGAGCTTATTTGTGGATTTGTGCTTAGGAATCATTTATGTTGGTGCTCTGGGGACCACATGGGATGCTGGGGATGGAACCTGGGTTGGCTGAGTGCAAGGCAAGAGCCTCATCTGCTGTACTATCACTCCAACCCCCTAGATCAAAATTTCTACTGTTTGTGGCTCCTCTGTAGCAGAACCCCAAAGGCAGAAGTGAGTTTTTTCTAGCTTTTGCTTGGGAACAGATCTCACCTTCCGGTTGCCTGAGAACAGGCTGCTGTTGGGGTTTTGGTGAAAGATCTGGGCTCAAGCTTGTGCTCTTTCTTGTTTTGCCTGCAGATGGCAGCACCCTCTGGACTGAGAAGTCAGAAGCCTGGATTGCCGAGAAGCCAGAAAATGGACTCTCTTCTCCAGGACACGTGAATGACAGCCACTGGGATGGGTGAGTGCTTGAACCAGGGATTTTTCTCTTATTTTTCTATATTTGTTGGTATTGCTTGGTGTAGTAATTAACTTGATGTGTCAATTAACTGTGTTCAATTTGGAGATAGTTTGATTTTCAGTTTGTTTATAGAAATAAAGGAGGAAAAAATGAAAAACTATGAACCCAGAGCATTACTTGAATGTTGCCAGGGGATGGACTGATCCTCTCTCCCCCAAAACCCCCCACCCCCCAGAATGTGACATACCCTCCCTTCTGCAACTTGGCCAGTCCCCTTTGTTATCCAGGGGGCAGTACCTCATCAGCACAGTCCCTTTCTGTCAGCAAGTGTGTGGTAAGCAGCAGTGTAACATGCTCTTTGCAGGGACCTGGGGGTCTTTCATCCAGCTTCTTCCCAGAGAATTGTTTGTGCCTTGCCAGTGAACATCCAGGATTACTATCTTGCAGCCCCACTGGTGGCTTCTTCCTAGGGTCCTTCTCTCCTCCCACTCTTGACAATTTCACTGATTGAGTTTATTGATCCTAAAACCCTATAATAGTACAGCAGATAGAGCATTTGTGTTGCATGCAGCCCACCCTCGGGTTCGATCCCCACCAAGTCATATGTCCCCTGAGCACCCCCCGGAGTAATTCTTGAGTGCAGAGCTAGGAGTAACCCCTGAACATTGCTGGATGTGACCCAAAAATAAACAAACAATAAGACCCTATTTGTGCTCTTCCGGTAGACAATAAGTATAGGTTTCATAGTTGGGAGAGAGAGTACATTCTGCCTTCAAACCAAGGGCAGTGATACCACTTCTTGACATTCTATTGAGGGGTCTAGCAAAGATCCCAAATGTCCAGATAAACTAGGTTTTGTGATGTCTTTCCATTGGCTTCTAACCCCTCAGTCCCTCCTGACATGGTTCCGGTATATCTTCCTTCAGTGTTCCTTTCTTCGCAGGGAACTTACTGAGCCCCCTTGACCTTCACTCTGACCTTGCCAGCTTCGCCCCCAGCCTCTCCGTGTGGCCCCGTGCCCTACAGAAATATGACCAAATCAGTGATGCTATTTAAGTAGCAGCCAATGATGAAATTACTTCAAACAAAGACGTAGCAATGCAGGTGGCAGCCCAAGCTCTGCAGCTCTTGTCTCGAGACTGGCCACCAACGGGTAGACGCATGGCCGTGTTTGCTCTGTGGGCCTGAAAACGGAACCTAATGAAATTAATGGGAAACACAATTATAGTCCTCAAACACCATCCCACATCTCAGAATTTGCTCTCCTAGATGACATAGCACTGTTTTTTATTTTGTTATTTCATTTACCCTGAGTTGCTGGCACACTCTGGCAACATTCGCCCTTCCTACCATTTGTTTTAGGCACTTCAGGATATACATCAGACAGTATCTCAGCTGATGGAAATTGGAAATTTGTTTTGTTCTTCATTTGAAGAACCCCCCCCCCCAATTTTTTATTTGAAAAGTGGGCAATGACCAACTTAAGAACACACTCACTGACAGCTCTGGGCGCCTCCCACTAAGTCTCTATCTGTTCTAGCTCAGTCCTGCGGACCGAGGCAGAAGACACATGCCCTCAGCCTCAGTGGAAATGTATGTTGAGACTCGGTAATGCCTGCTGATATTAGAATATTTCAAAAAAATGCAGTTAAGAGGCTAGAGTGAGAGTATAGTACGTATGGCACTTGCTGTGCATGCGGTCATAGGCACCCCCAGCACCCTATATGGTCCCCTGAGCCTCGCCAGGAGTAATTTCTGAGTGCAGAGTCAGAAGTAAGCCCTGAGAACTTCTGGGTGTGCCCCGCAAAAAATATACATATATGCATGAATGTGTGTATACACACATATATAGTAAATAAATAAATATCGATTAAAATCTTGTGGGAGAAAGACCTGTCCCAGGTACTGGAGAGACTGGGAAGATAGTACAGGAGTTTGGGCCTGTGCCTTGCACACTCCCAACCCAGTTTCAATGCCCAGTACCACATGGACCCCTAAGCACCATTGAATGTCATCCTGAAGGTGGCTCTGGTGGTTCATGGTACACAGGACCCAAGGAGCACCGCATCCTTAGGACCTTGCATCAACCAAACAGTCTGGTTAGCCAAGACCATTAACCACTGGTCAGTGGTTCTTCTTGGTCCAGAAGTGGCCTTCTGCAGCCCTTGAGCACTTTTAAGAGTCACCTCCAATAAAAGGAAAGAAAAGTTGTCCTCGTTAAAAAAAGTCAGGGCAGAGTGATAGTATAGCAGGTAAGGTGTTTGCCTTGCCTTGCATGAGGCTCAAACCCTCCGGCAGCCCAATGGGGTCCTCTGAGTAGAGAGCTAGGAGTAATCCCTGAGCACAGAGCCAGGAATAAGCCCTAAGAACCACTGGATGTGGCTCCAAAACAAAAAAAAAAAAAAGGAAAGAAAGATTGGGAGCACTTTCCTAAGAGCAGCTTTGGTGGCTTAGGGACAGATAATCTTCAGGACACAGTAACTGGATATTTCAGACTAAAGACTTAAACATCAATCACCCTCGCCACTGTCTTGTGATTTTGGGATAGATTTTTGTGTTCTAAAATAGCAGCTTTTCTTAAGATAAAATGTTCATGCCATGCAACTCATCTAGTTGAAGTGTACAATAAAATATGAGATGTATAAGGTAAAGGTAAAGGCCCTCCCGTTGATCATCAATTTGCTCGAGCGGGCCAGTAACATCTCCATTGGAGACTTTGTTGTTACTGTGTCTGGCATATCGAATACTCTCGGTAGCTTGCCGGGCTCTCCGAGAGGGGCGGAGGAATCGAACTCGGGTCGGCCATGTTGGCTGCGTGCAAGGCAAATGCCTTGCCACTGTGCTATAATTTCGATTATTCAGAGTTGTGCATCAACCTCCAGAGTCAGTCTCAGAACGTTTTTTTATTATCCCAGAATAGAAGCTTTGTATCTTTAAACTTTTACTCTCTTTCTAATATTCCCATTTCCCTATCTCTAGCTGTCACTAATGTACTCTCTGGCTCTGTAGATTTGCTCATTCTGTGTAACAGATAAATAGAACCAGGCTATGTGTACTTTCTATGTCTGGCTTCTTTCACTTGCCATAACATTTTTATTTATTTATTTTTGTTTTGTTTTTATCCCACAGCCGGTGGTGCGCAGGGCGTAGTCCTGGCTCTGCATTCAGGAATCACTTTTGGAAGGGCTAGGAAATTATGTGGGGTGCCAGGGATTGAACCCAGGTTGACTATGTGAAAGGCAAGTTCCCTACTCACTGTACCGTTGCTCTAGTCCCTACCAAGACATTTTTATTTTGTATTTTTATTGATTTAGGTATTTTTAAACCATGGCCTTTTTTTTTTTTTTATTGAATCACTGTGGGAAAGTTTACAAAGCTTTCAGGTTTATGTCTCAGTCATGCAAATATCAAACACATTTCCCTTTACCAATACTTATTTTTTACCATGAAGAACCCCAATAAAACCCTACCCCCCACCCCTCCCCGTCCCTGTGAGGCAGATGAATTCTAGTTAACACTCTATCTGCTTTGATTAGATTCATTGTTTCAATAAAAGATTCACCACTATTTTTTAGAGTTTACCCCCCCCCCCCCAAATCAGACATGCTGAAAAAGCATTGTGAAGTGATTTGCTTTTGGGTTCAAGAATTAAATGTTGGTTTTGGATTTCTGCTATTTTACCTATTGACCCTGGAAGTATTTCTACTGAAAGTCAGATAGTTAAGAAATTGGTTTCTGTGTTCTGGAGTCGTGGCCGTGCTGGAGAGCCGCTCGCGGGGGGGCAACCGGTGGCCTCGGTAGGGCGTGAAGGGCGGAGCGAAACGCCCCCCCTTCCCATGAGGTTTTAGTCGCCCCCCACACTCCCGGCTCATACCTGCTGTCCACAAGGCTCCCATGTGGCCGCCATCTTTCTTTCCAGAGAGGAGAGGGCGAATGGGGCAACACCCTTTCCCCTCCGGCAGACTTGATGGCCTGGATCAACGCATAGTCCGTTCACTTTTCTGCTCCAAGCTGCTGGGTTCTGCATTAAGTCCTTGTGCTTCTGGGGCCATGGCCGTGCTGGAGAGCCGCTCGCGGGGGGCGACTGGTGACCTCGGTAGGGCGTGAAGGACGGACCGGAATGCCCCCCGACCCATGAGTAAACCATGGCCTTTTAAAGGTTCATCTTCGTGGCATGTGTCAGTACTTCATTGCCAAGTAATATCCATTGTATAGGCATAGTACATAATGTTTTTTTCCATTTATTAGTAACCACCCTTTGGGTCCTTCTCATCCTTGGATTTTTGTGAGAATGTTGCAGAGAACTTTCTGTGTTCTGTTTCTGTGTACATTGTAATTGCATTTTGTCATTGCTGAAAAAAAAGAGAGAGCAAGGTTGATGCTAGCAATGTAAAGGAACAATTTCTTTGGGTAGAACTGGAATTGCATTTTGAAAAATGATATATCATGAAAACAAATATCAAAAGATGTGAAATCTAATTCTCCAAACCACTGGGAGTTTTCTGAGTTCTATCTTTCTTGTTTGTTTGCTTTTGGGCACATCTAGCTGTGCTCAGGGCTTACTGCAGGCTCTATTGAGATAACACTCTTGGAGGTGCTGGGGATCAAACCTGGGTTGGTCAGGTGCCAGGCAAACACCTTACTGGCTTCACTATTTCTGGGCCCTTAGTTCTGTCTCTTAATGTTCTTGTTTTAAAAAATGAAGAAGAAATATAAATGTTCCTGATTGAAATAATTTGGACTGAGTTTGGTGCAGAGCTGTGTTGGACTTTCTTTCAGCTGTTTTCAGCAGGTGGGCAGAAAGAAAGGAAGTGTGAACCAGAGAGGGGAAGAGGCTGGACGAGAATCTGGGTCATGTGGGATGGCCACATGCCATTGGTCTAGCTCCTGGTGGCCACAGGCCACTGACCAGTGAAGCTTAGTATGGCAATGGCATGCACAGGTGCCTTTGTTTCTAATGTGGTATTCCTGGCCCACAAGGCTCTGGTGTTGGCTGTTGG